ATTCACGTTGATGGGTAATGAGCATTGGGAAACTACTGTAGGACACTTGGATGACCTCCAATGTTTAAACCTATAGAGTGTTGTCCTTTCGATGCATCCTTATTCGGAAAAAGTTACTCTTCGAATAAAAAATATATTTATGTATTAAAAAAAAAACAAAAAATTGGGTCAAGTGATGTTGTAATTCGATTAGAGCAGTGAGGTGTTGTTTGTGGAGTTGTTGGGGGATGGTATATGTTTTGTCTTGTTGATTTGGGTGAATAGCGGACATTCGAGTAGTCTATTACTCGAAAAACTTTGATTGACTATTTGAGCTTATTATCCACATGTATATCCGTACCTTTTCCTTAGCCCACATTACAACCCGTGAAGTCCTCTTGATTCGCAAATTTTGAACTTTGATTGTTTTTGAGTAATTTAAATGATTGGCAAGCATATGTTGAAACTTGAATATTGTCCAATTTTGAGCGTGCCTTTCATATATTCGTGCAAGAAAATGAGTGAGGTTTATATTACATTCTATGCGTTTGAGAGTTTGTCATTTTGAGCCCATGTTGATATTTGAGGCATATGGTCGTACGGTCGTTGGAATTCGACTTGATTGAGTTAGGCATTTTGAGGCTCTTCTTATTTGAAACCATATCCATGCTCGTGTCTTGTTTTCTTTTTCTTTTTGTTCGGGACGAACAAAGGTTTAAGTGTGCGGGAGTTGTTTGTCCCATTTTTGTTGCGATTTTCTTTATTGTTTTGTCTTTCTTTTTCCTCCATGTTAGGTCTTTTCGTCGGTTTTTAGCTCGTTTTAGTGTTTTTTATGTGTTTCGTGCTATTTCGGTTTTCTTTGTGTTTTCCGTATATTTTTTCGGTTTTTCTTTGTTTATGGTGTGTAGGTCGAAATTCTCGAGAGGATCGGTTTTGAAGCGAAAATTGGCCGTGCAAGCATAAGAAAATAGAAGAGTTCGTCGGCGATATACAGCAAAAAGTGGAACTCGAATCCGATGCCAGGCGAGCCCGAACGAACTCGAAACGCGAAGTGTTGCGTCACCACAGCCTCAGGCCAATGTCACGCAGCTCCCATGCACATCGCGCCGCGCAACCGCCACGTACCGGACAGAGGACCCAAAATGTTCCGTCGCGCCGTGTGCAATACCGCGCTGCGGCACTGCTGCCAGCAGCACGCCGCGCTGCCCAACACGCCGTGTTACACGATCCCCTCGCGCCGCGGCACCACTCGCAACGCCCACCACGGACAAGCAGACTACACATACCTCCCAGGCGTCGCGCTGCGCCCAACCTTCACGCCGCGGCAGACATTCCCAGCACTCCCGCATCACGGCGCGCCAACCTTCCACGCCGCGGCAGTCACGCACAGTATTTCTTCCTCCGCGCTGCGGCGTCCTGCCGCGCCGCGGCACTGCCTTCCTCCGCGCCGCTATGCACCCTACCCCGCGTTGTTATCACTATGCGTATAAATAAGCGTGCGGGATTTCATTAATTGACGAATTCTCGACGGGGGTAGAACCCTAGGTCCCGAAAACATCACGAACTCCCTTCTTCTTCCTTCCCTTCTTCTTCTCGAGTTTTCTTCTTCTTTTTATTTTTATTTTCCATTTCTTTTCTCTTTCATCTTCGGATTAAGCTTGTATTACGAATTCGACTTGGGACCTTGGATTGATTGTAAGCTTTTCTCTCTTGTTTAATTCATGAATAATGATTAAATTTGGAGAATTGATTTATTTTGTTGAATTCAATATGCGTAGCTAATTCGTATCGCTGGAGATAGGGGAATGATTATTCTTGTTTAACGTGCATCTCTCGGGCTTGAAATTGTTCATTTTTTATGTGAGCTGTTTTGATTAGGGATTGATATAATCTTACTTGATTGATTGATATAATCGAAGAGTGACACTTCGATCTTGCAGTTGGTAACAATTGAATGTTGATTAGTCGAGTTAGGGTTTTGTTGATTCTATGCGATTAGTTGATTAATCACCTTCTAGTTACTTAGCGACTTGTGGAACCGAAAGGGGAGAAGTCGTTGACCTAGGCTCGCATGAGGTAGACGATGTCGTAATTGACTAATCTACGTGTTTTAGATTGAAATACGCACTTGTCGATGACTCATCCCTTGTTACGAAAAGTTATTGGGATTAGGATAATTGGCCTGTGTTGTATGCTCGAACTTGTTCGTCTATGTTCAATCCCTTGTTCCGAAGAGTTATTGGGAGCGAACCGCTAGATGTCTAAGCGAGAGTGTCAATCTCGAACCGGACAATGAATTGCCCGATTTTGCTAGAACTTGAATTAATTGTCCCCGATTCCCTAGTTTCTCCATCTTTGTTACGTTTATAATTTAGGTAGAATATTGCTTTTATATTATTTCTTAGTTGGTAATTATTCAAACCCCCTTATCTGATTAGTATGTTTAGGATTTTATTTGCTTTTATGTGTTATCAATATCAAAGCTAAATTCCGAACAGCCTTCCTCGTGAGATCGACCCGGGGAACGAATCTTTCGATTCGGTACTCGGTAAATAGAATAATTTGTACACAACAGCCGTAATCTATTTTTTGCAATTTGTTAAGAACTTTGTTTTTCAATAAAATTCCGAACATGTTGTGCTTGATTCATTAAGTCTTCACATGATTTCTTGGCAATTTTGTGCAATGAATTATGATCTTTCCCAATGTGATTAAAAAATGCACAGTCTTTCCCATTCTGTACCTTTTTCCAGTTTTTGAAGCCATCAACAAAAAAAGTATTCTGACTGTGATGCTTACCTGGTTTGTTAAACAAATAACAAGGTAAACAAAATGCAGCATCACTCGTAGGAGAGTATTCTAACCAAGACGGAAATATCTTGAACCACGACGCTTGAAAACAACGAGAATGTTTTCCAGACCCGCTCGATGGATATTCACCAATGTATTGATAAGGACCATAGTTAACATAAGTCCGTCGAACTTCATCAATTTTTTCCACGGGATAACTTGATATTGGCATACGTAATCCTGGGTCACGTTCAAGCTTGTTGATATCAAATACCACCGGCTCGATTCTAAGTGATTTCTGTATCTGGTTATCAGCTTTCTCAACAATTGATGGTCCTCCTTTATCTTTCTCTCCTTTATTTTCCTCAACCTGATCATGTTTTCTTTTAAAAATGAATCAATTCTTGATGACTTCCCCATACCCTGAAAATAAAATAAAAACAATAAATAGTAATATTAAATGACCTATAATATGGTGCTTAAAACAACAATAAAAACAAGCAAATACAAATGTTCATTTTTACTTTTCACATACAGATGACTAATCCTAGACACAATCTTGTTGGCCTTTTTTTTTAGGTATCAATTATATCAAAACGAAAAAAAAAAAAAGAAAAAAAAAAAGAATAGTGCAATTACATGTGTAGCCATCCAAGAATGGCAAACCCAAAACATTGATTTAAAAAAAATATATATATGAAGACAAATTCACAATAAACAAATACACAAACATCCTCATAAATAAAATATAGTATTGTATTATAGATTTTCAAATTTAAGGATGACCAAAAGGACCAAATCACTACTCAGTTTCCTATTGCTATTGGGACCACAAAATAATAATAATAATAATAATAATAATAATAATAATAATAATAATAATAATAATAATAATAATAAAAATAATAATAATAATAATTAACTACAACCCAACAATCATTTAATTGCTTTTCAGTACATATATAAATTATTTGAATTAGGCACAAGAAGAAGTGAAAACCTAGATTGTACATTAAACTTGATTAAACCCTAAATGGATGAAAAAGGAACAAATGGATAATATCATAAATAAGATATAAACAAAAGAACTTACAAATATAATTATCCAAGGAAGAAGATGAATGCTCAAATCTCTCTCTCTTTTTTTTTTTTTTTTCTGGTTCGCTACTTCGCTCACTGCTGTGCTGAGTCGCTCTCGCTTTTCTCTTAATTTCCTGTCCCAGCTTGAAGTTATGTGGTCTACTTTAAGTCTTTAATTATTTGTTTAATGGAGTCCAGAATAATTAATTAAGTTAATTTATTATATTATATATGTTTATTAAAGGAAAAGTTGTGGAAGTGGAATTAGCAATTGAGAATCGTGCAACTCCAAAACATGATTCTATTTCCATTTAATAAATTATTTACTTCAATTTATCCTTTATAATTTAAGGGGGGGCAAATGATTAACTATGTACAATACATAATATATTATGTATACATACTACTAAGAGATAAAAAAAAACTTTGGTGGGGGGAGGGGGAGGGACCATGCCCCCCCAACCCCCCCACCCCCCTATTATAAACATACATCCGTCCCTGCTTTTAGGAGTCAATTTCCTTCTCAATTGATTGCTTTCTGATTTGGAGATCTTCATAATCGAGCTTCCAATGGAAATCTTGTGATCCCAGATCGTGTAAGAACATGAATTTCCACAAATAGCCGATCTTCCATATCTTCAAAGATATTGTGGTGAATCTTTCCAAATCCTCCTTAGATATTCTAGAGAACGTACAAGATTCTTCTTGTGTGAATATCTCATCCTTTCATAGTCCTTGTCACTTATTCCTTGTCCTACAAGAGAGAGAAAACTAATTATGACATAAAATCAAGCTCCTTAATACAAGTGGCATATATGGTAAGCGAATATATAAGATATATATATAATGTAATCATTCTTCTAAAGGATTAGGATGCCATAATACATACTACAATTAATATATACAAAATATTATTAATAATAAATATTAGGAACTTAATTAAATCACAAGTAAATAAATAGAAAAGCTTTCCTTTAATTTATTTTGCTTGCTTAACAAGAAATCTTCTAGAAAATACTTAGGTTTGTCGGACGACGCCAAACCAATATTCTTGCAGTAAATAATTCAAATACATAATGGGCCATTAAAAAACTTGTTGTCCGATGTGCCGAACTGATGACGTCTCGAAATGAGCTCACGAAGGATTATTATGTCATAATAATAATGAATTGAGTGATACTAATTATTGATCAAGGAGTTCATTAATTATTTTAATAGTAATTAAATTAATTAACGGATGTTATATCTTAAACACAGGGAGATAAATGGAATAAATAAATCGGGATGCTAATTAATTGTAATTTGGGTCTAAATTGAAAGTTCAATAATATTCTTTTTAGTGGAATGGAATATTGTTCAAGTGTGAATGTGTAGGTAAACCAAGGATTACAGTTGTGTGCACACTCGTGAAGTCATTATTTAGCACCTTCTTTGGGCTCTGTTGTAGCCATAAATACACAAAAGTCCCTATGGGCTATGGCCTCACAAGTGATTCACAAATGATTAAAATCAAATTTCTCAAGCAAAATAAATCGGCTAAAACTAAGAGAAAAAGCGAGAGAATAAAAATCATGCGATCTGAGTATCGATACCGAAGAAAACTCGATCTTCTTTATTCTTTCAAGATCAATCGTCGTAGGGTTTAGGAGATCCAATGAGTCCCCCACCAAGACGTACTCGGAGAGTTGATTGTTCATGCAACAGCCGAGGAGCCGTCAACATAGACTAGCCACTGGCCGACCTCTTTCTCCATCGTGCATTCTTGTATGAAATCTATCTATTATTAAGCTTTGATGGATTTTTTAACCTCGAACTCGAAATTATACTCTACGAGCTTTACTGCCCACTTGACCATCCTCCCCGAGGCTGAAGGTCGGCCTAGAGTGTAATTAAACGGGTAGTTGGTTCTGACTTTGACCTTGTGCGCCAGGAAATAGGGCCGTATTTTTTGGTATATTGGTAACAGTGTCAGCGCGACCTTCTCAACCTCAGAATATCGTTGCTCTACACCTTGCACCACGCGGTTAACATAGTAGACCAGGTTCGAAGATAGTTGTTGGGTTCTGTTAGGAACGTCTTTGATATGCACATTCAAATCTAATAAATTAAATCCTAACATAGTGGAATTATAGTTAAGATTAGGACTTACCATTTAAATTTTTGTTGACGTGGAGACGTTTCTGATTTCTGCTAATGGAGATCGTCTATTCCTCGAGTCGTGTGAGTCGGGATCACTGGGCCTCGAGATTTCCAGATCTCGCGTTGTTTGTGTGCTTTTGTTGGCGTGCATCATGTTGTCGGGGTCACGCGGTCACCGGGCGCTGGCGTGCTGCAGGCGCGTGGGCGTTGTGCATGCTACGGATGGGCTTGCTGGGCGTCGTGCAGTCTTTGTGATCAGGCATCGCTCAGTCTTGCTACTGGATGCACATACTGGTGTCGTTGGGTGTTATGCGGATGCATAGGTTGCGCTGGGGCACTGCGTGTTAGGTTCGAGGCTCGTGCGCGGGTCTCGTCGGAGCTGCTGTGGTGCGCCACCGAGGAGGGCCATATGTGGGTGTTTTTCAGTGATAATAAATACGCCGGGATGCAAAAAATAAACCTCACGATCTTATGATGTATTACCATTACACCTACTTTTAGTAGTCTTGGTGGTACGACTAAAAGAAACTCCCGAACTTAAAAAATATATAACTCATTTTCTCTCTTTAAGGAGACCTAAAAAACGTGGGGAACAAGTATGGAGGAGGTGTAGGACTTGGTGTATTTATAAGCTACAACAGGGACCCTAATGAGGTGCTGCTAATATGGGCTTATCAAATATGAATAGGAAACATTGAGTTTACACCTTGTGTTTACACTTTATTCCTATTTGAGTAATAGAATATTCCACTAGAGTAATATTATTGCGCTCTCTATTTAGCTATGAATTAAAAAAATTCGTTCTCAGAATTTAATAGATCAAATTACCACTCTATGTTTAAAATATAACATCTGTTGATTAATTTAATTACTGACAATGTAATTAATCAACATCTCCATTCGAAACTAGTATCACTCAGTTCTTAATTATTGTGTCAGAAATTAATCCTCCTGCAGAGCTTAACATAATAAACCATCCTGAACTCATTTCGGGAACGCCATCAACCCGACGAACCGGGACTAAGTAACCGTAAACAATTTAAATGACATGTCTTGTAAACAACCTCAATTACCAAAATATCGAGTATATGAACCTAATAGAATAGGTCTCATCATTGGTAAACCAAACAAGCAAGTGTTGAGTACATATGCCCATTTATTGTCTTATGGGTTAAAAGAACACATCAATTACTAAGGTCTAGATTATTTACTTGGTCAATACAAAATTATCTTGTCCTCTGTAGGTTCGTCCAATACACGCAAGTAGGGCTGAGCATGGGACTCAGAGAATTCTGAACCGTTTTGAAAATCGAACCGAATCACCCCGAAACGAAAATAACTGTTGATCGTTTGACTTTCTCTGAACCAAACCAAAAAAAAATAATTGGTACGGTTCTGGATATTTCAAAAGTATCCGCACCGAGAATCGAACCAAACTGTCCCATACCGTACCGAACCGAATAACCAAAATTAAAAACCAAGTTATAACATTAGATTTGTGTTAATATATTTTATGTTAACTTTGATCCTATATAGTTTGAGAATTTTTAAAATGCAAATAAAATATAGTAATAACAATTAAGCTTAACACATCTAAAAAAAAACTCGTCGTCCCCAAATTCCAGCCAAACCCTCGTTGCCGCTTCTCAAATTCGTTGCCTTTCACTTAGCTTCTGGGCCAACGGCAGTCTTCCCCTAGTCGGACGACCCTCTCCTGTTGCGGCTTCCCTCGCTTGGCTGAGCAATTATTGTTTTTTCGTCCAATTCCACGCTGCTTGCTCCGGTGTTGGGGTGTCGATCGGTCCTGAGCTACGACGATGGTTCGACCCTGTTGCACCTGTGTTGCGGTTCAGTGATGGTGCGATTCAAAAGTTGTGGTTCTGCAGCGCGGCTGTAACACCCCGCCAAATTATTTCTAGAATTTATAAAATCAGAGTAAAATTTTTTGCTTTTTATTTTCGAAAAACTCTTAAACTTTATTTTCGAAAATACTCATACTAACTTGCGGGATGCTACTA